GCAGGTATTGTACTAGATGCTGGGAATACAAAGATCAAAAAAAAAAAAGAGAGAGAGAGAGGTTTTTGGTTTTTTTTTTTTCCATCAAGTAGCTTACATTTTATGGGAGGGCAAGAGGGACAGGAACAACATGAAAGTAAATAAAGAATCTGCACAAAATAATACAAATTAGTAAGAGAGGAGAAGGAACTACAAACCGGGGAGAGGAAATCAGAATCAGCCCCATGTCTCCTTTTTCTCCTCTCAGGCCCACAGAGTTCCAAACTCTTGACAGGAATATGATGGCCGCTGCAAGCCATAATGAGTTTCTAAGAAAAAGTAATAATAAATGAAATTAATTTCTTCTTTAAAAAAAAATAGAATGGCTATTTAGTCAGTAACTCCGAAAAGCCCATAGCTGGCCTATTTCCAAAGGTCTTTCCTTCCCACCTTTGTTGTTGGGAAAATGAAGGTGGTGATGATGATGATGATGATGATAGTGATGATACTTTAGCCTAAGCTGAAGTGAACTACTTGTGAATTACAGTGAAGCCACTGCTAGGAAAAAAAGTCTCACCCTATCAAGATCATGGAGAACATCTTGGCTAGGTTCCCAACCACAAAGAGTAGAGAGAGTAGAGAGTCAAATTAGAAGCCATACAACTCAGGAGTTGCAGAATAAATGACACAAAGTGTCAAAACCAAGTCAAGCTGTTGGAGATAATGTTATCCAAAGCAAAGGGGAATAATGTGCGTTTTAGGAGACCCTAGACACAGACTTACCTTAAGTACACTCTAACTATAGAGGACTTGTTAAGGCATGAATGTTTTAGAGGAGCTCATTTCCCATAGTACTTTAAAGATACTTAGAAGAAATGGAAAGTCAATTCAATAGGAAATGAAGCTAATATTGATCTCATTTACTTACCATTCATTTCTTTTTTTGTTAAATGCTTTACTCTTCGATGCTTCTCCTTTCCTGGGTTTGTTTGCATGAGGAGCATATGAATAAGGGGATTTGTTCTGTGAAATTTGGATTTAATCAAATGGCTGCACTTGAAGACCTAGAAGGCCACATGTGACATCCAGGCTGCAGGTTCCCCAACCCTGACTTAGGCCTACATTAATTTCAGATATTTTTAGTTTTGTTTTTTAAACTGGGAGAGGGCAAACAAGTCAAGTTAGATCAATTACCATCAAAACCCCTCATGATTTGAAGTGAAGTTGTAGAGAATACATGAAGGGGAAATCCATGGAAGACTACCAGATTGAGAGGCCATGCAGTGTGGTAGAAAGAGGGGAGAACTTGGAGTCAGGACTGGATTAAAATCATTCCTCCACATCTGTTAACTTTTGAACCACGAGCAAGTCACTTCAATTCTATGAGCCTATGTTTCCACATCTGTAAAAAAGCCTAAGATGGTTGTCAGGATCAAATGAGACAAAGCATATAGGCCTTTCCAAACCCCAAAGCCCTATTTAAATGTCAGTTACCATTAGCAGATCCAGGAAATGAACTAGATGTCATTTCTAGATGAAATTTCTAGATTTCAATAAGTCTTCTGACTCCCCTCCAAAAAAAGTTAGCAAATATGGACCACAGTACGAACTAATTTGTAAGGAGGATAATAAATTCAGTTTTAGAAGTAACAAATCATGCTTATATATCTCTTTTAGAATTAAGAAGCACTTTCCTCATCTCACTCCCCTTCTTAAAAGCCTTTACAGTTTCTGAGATAAAATAGAAGATCCTTAATCTGCCATTTAAAGTATTCCCCAATCTACCCTTTCAGTCCTTCTTCAGCTTATTCATCTTCATGGAGTAAGATTATCTTGGCAGTTGTTCACTAAATTTAGCATCTCATCTCCCACCTGCATGCATTTGTTCAAGCCACACTCCTACTTGGAATACACTCTCTTCTAATCTCTATCTTTCATACCCATCTTTTTTTTTTCTTTTTTCTTTTTTTAGGCAATTGGAATTAAGTGACTTGCCCAGGGTCACACAGCTAGTAAGTGTCAAATGTTTGGTCCGAGGCTGGATCTGAATTCAGGTCCTCCTGAGTTCAGGGCCTGTGCTGTACCCACTGTGACACCTAGCTGTCCCCATATCCATCTTTTTAAAAGTCAGCTTAAGTACCAACTCCTGTGAAGCCTTCTCTCATCTTTCAAGTTGTTAATGCTCTTCCTAATCAAATTGTTTTGTGTTTACATACCTATGGACATGTGTGCCACAGTAGAATGCAAGGTCCTTAAGTTCAGGAACTGGTTCATTATTATTTTTGTATTCCCACTGCCTAGCACAAGCACCTTTCATATAGTAGGTGCTTAATTAAATTAAATTCACTTACACGCACACACACCCCTCATAGAATGCAACGGTGTATAGAGCATTGACATTTTTTTCAAATGTAGAGCCTACGTAGTCAGTTGAAATGAAGTATTAATGTTATATTTATAAGACTGATAACTTTTTGCAAAAAGTAAATCAGTAGTCCTTTGGGAGAACAGCATTAGAGATTTGCTAGTTGAGATGTGAATTGGTGGGTCACAACTTTTTGTTGTGACTCTTCATGACCCCATCATGGGTTTTCTTGGCAAAGCTATTGGAGTGATTTGCCATTTCTTTCTCCAGCTCATTTTACAGATGAGGAACTGAGGCAAACAGGGTGAAGTGACTTGCCCAGGATCACACAGCTGGAAAGTATCAGAGGTCAGATTTGAACTCATGAAGAGGAATCTTTCTGATTCTAAACCCAGTAATCTAACCACTGTGCCATGTAGCTGCTAGTTTCCTCATCTGTAAAATGACCTAGAGAAAGAAATGGCAAACCACTACAGTAGCCTTGCCAATAAAACTCCAAATGGGGTCACAAAGAGTTAGACATGACTGAAACAACTGAACAATAACAATAACAACAAAAAGTTGCAATATGCTGTTGAGCTAGAATATAAATCAGAAGTGAGCCTATTGCTCTCATTACGCTAAATTGCAAAGCTAAATACTCAATGTTGGGACCCAACTGAATGGAGTTTATTTGTATAATCTGCTTGGTTTGTAGTAGAGTTGTTCAGAAAATAGCTGAAAGTTCTTCAAACTTCATAGCAATAGAATGGAATTTCCTTAAGAGCAGGGAATGTTTTGCTTTCACATTTGTATACTCAATCCCTACCACAGTGTTTGGCCCATAGTAGATATGTGATAAATGCTTAATGATTGATTGGTTGATTGATTAATTGATTACTGATTTGATTAATTGATACTGAGCAGGTAATCAAAGAACATTTCTTATATGTTCAAATACAAGAATTTCTTATATGTTCAAATACAAGAACGACTGTCTTCCTTCTTCCCTCTCCTTGTGTCCTTACCCTCTTCTCCCACATAATAATCAAAATAATCATTCTGAATAGTTTTATAGACCATCAACTTAAAATGAGATGTAACGATTCCAAATCCAACATTCTCTCAGTTGTACCATGCTGCCATTCAGAGTACGCTGCAAGAAAGGACTAATGAAAAGGGGAACAAAGCTCATGAGGAACACAACCTGAGAGGAACCTGCTGATTAACTGATTCATCAACTGATTCATTACATGCTTAGGTGGAGCTAAAGCTCTGGGCTGTATCTCGTGCCTCAGCATACTCAAGTTAGGTGCAGATGGGCTGGCTGACAATCACTTGCCCTGTCGTGCAACTTCTGATTTTGGCAATTCCTGATGTAAAAGCAATGTAATAGTCTTTCCCCCCATCCCCCTCCAGTCATTACTCAGAATTTGAATACTATGACAACCATTCAAAAAACACAGGGCGTGGAGCAATTTTACATGCTTTACATTTAAACAATACCATGGGAGCAGCAAAGCAATAAGACCAGAGGGCAAGGAATCTTACACTTAGAGTAGAGGCAGATGAGGATGATCCAAATGACGAGAATTTTCCATTCCATCACCTGCATACTGGGTATTAATGTAAATTTCATGTGATATGATTACCAGGCACTTTTTAAAGACTTTATATGGCAATAAAATTTACTCTTGTATGCTGAGTGGGTCCTGAAATATCTTCAAGATTCCCTAAGTTTCAAAGATAGCTTGTAGTTATTAACCCCCTCAAAACCCAATCCATCTTTTATCTTCATTATTATTATTATTGTTATAATTATTATCTTCTTATCCCTTTGATAGGGTTCAGATAGAAACAGTCCTGGGACAAGTTGCTATCCTGATATGGTTCTTTTAGATAGAATCTTCTGTGTACCATTGCACAAGTGGATAAAGCAACCAGCAGATTATTGTTGCTATTATTATTATCTCGTTCTCATTTTCTCAGTGGAATCCAGATTTTTTTTTTAAAAAATGGTCCTAAGATAAGTTGCTATCCCACTATTATTTTATTATGTTTAACGTTTTATGGATTGATGTACAGGTGGATAAAATAATTGCATTTTGTAAAAATATTAAGTGGTAAGCATACCCTCTATGCTTGCTAAAAGGTTCCTAAGTACAATTTCAGGAGCATATCAGACAATGTTGATAATATAGAACTCACTCTGTTCACGTGTTATTTTGATTTCCTCTGCTAAGTCTCTCTATATTGAGAACTTTTTATTCTATGTAGCTTGAAGAATATGAGTATTTTGTATGGTGATTCCCGTCAACAATGTCGTTCTTAAATTTTTATGTATCGGTGTTAAGTCTGGGTGATTGTGAGCAACAATTCAGTAAATTATAATGGTCATTTTGACTATTTTAAATACCTAAATTAACTACAAAGGAATGAAGATGCTATCTGCATCCCGAGGAAGAACTGATATATAAAAGTATGTATAGTATGGATTTACATATGGGGGTGTGGGTGAAAGTTACATGATAACTATATTATAGATTTAAAAGGAAAAGCAAGTTGAACATAATAGATTTGCATTTTTGTATGCAATGCTCTTTTTTTCTATTCTACTTTGTTATGAAAATGCTTGTTTTATTTAAGTTCAGAATTTTAATTCAAAAAAACAACAACAGTGTTTGCTTCAGCAGCACAGATACTAAAATTGGAACAATGCAGAGAAATTAGCATGCCCCTGCGCATGGATAACACACAAATTCATGAAGCGTTCCATATTTTTTGTAGAGACTATATTAGATTGCACGCCATCTTGGGGAGGGAGGCGGGGAAGGAGGAAGAGAAAATTTAAAACTCAAAAGCTTATGGAAGTGAATGCTGAAAACTAAAACTTAATTAATTAATTAAACAACAACAAGACTGTGAAATAGGTGCCATTGTTATCATACCCATTTTACAGTTAAGGAAACTGAGACAGAGATGAAGTGACTTGCCCAGGGTCATACAGCTATTTTGCATATTTGTGGCTGGATTTGAACTCAGTTCTTCTGACTCTAGGTCCAGCACTCTATCTACTGTACCACCTAGCTGCTTCAATAACACTTTTATAGGAAGTATCCTATAACATTGATTACCAGATCACCAATTGAAAGAAGTCCCACACTACTGAAAAAACTTTAGTTAAGCAATGTACACTGGAAATAATCAACTGGTTTTTGGTTTGGAATGGGGGGGAAATATAAGTAATTCCATTGTCAAATAATGTGATACATTCTAAAAGAGCTGATATTTTAACATTGGGCTGCAAGGCATTGAGAAACCAGTTGCTTCAACCTTCCTCTTTAGCATGCAGCTTGATGAAACTACAGATACCCCAGTATAGCCTTGTTTTTGTTCAATATGTACATGCTGACACCACACCTTCTGTAAATTGTAAAGACCATCAATATTTTGGAAATGATGAAAGTTTTGTTTTGGTTTTTTTGCCAAAAAACAAACAAACTCACTTTGAATGGAAAGAAGACTTTCATAATCTATGCACAGATGGAACTCCTCTTAAGTTTTGTACTGGTTTTGCCATTTTAGTGAAAAAAGAAGCTCCTCATATCATTGTTAGTCATTGCTTTTTACACAGGCCTGTACTGCTCTTGGAATTTTCCCAATTAGTATTTTCTCAATGACCCTGAAACAAGTTTTGTCATCAATAATAAAAGTCATCAACTCTATCAGAAACAGGTCTCTGAAGCAGTATATTTTAAATGCTTTTGTTAAGAAATTGAAGCAGAATATTAAGTGATTCTCTGTCACATAGAAGTCTGATGGTTTTCAAGAGGACAAATCTTGAAGCACTTGTGCAAACTTAAGGACTGAAGTTTCACTTTTTTCAGAATCAGTTGAAAAGAAAGGATTTTTTCCATTGATTGGCTTACCTAGCAGAACTTTTAACCTCATGAAGGAAATAAATCTTTAAATTCATAACCTTAAAGTCTCCATCATGGATACTCGTGAAGAATTCCATGTTTTCTTGACTAAAACACCAAAATGGAAGAAGAAAGTAGAAGCTGACTTCTTTGAAAATGTTCAAATGCTGAAGGAAATCCTTTACCAAGATGGAGAAGAGGTACAAACTTCTCCATCAATTTCTTTGAAAAGAGAAATCTGCAAACACTTGGAAATACTTGACAACTGTTTTGGAAGTTATTTCTATCTTAAGGGCATTAAAGTTGGATTTAAAAAGGAGAGGTAGTTACTAAGTGAGAGTGGTAATGGATGTGAGTGGCAGTAGTCAGCAAGCAATATAGCAAATCCTCCTCCTGGACTATGTGACAGGTATTGGGAGGGAAGATACAAGCTGCCTAGGAGATGGTACCAAGAAAAGTGATGCCTTCATAAGAAAGCTAGGTTTCTGCATGGAGTTGCTTGCCTTCTCAATGAGAGTGGGTGGGGAGGGAGGAAGGAAGAGAATTTGGAACCCAAAGTTTTAAAAACAAATGTTAAAAATTGTTTTTACATGCAACTGAAAAATAAGATATACAGGCAATGGGGTATAGAAATCTATCCTGCCCGAACGGAAAGCAGAAGGGAAAAGGGTTAAGAGAAGTGGGAGATGATAGAAGGGAGGGCAGATTAGAGGAAAGGGTATTCAGAATGGATGTTGTCTTGGAGTGGGGGGAGGGGAGAGATGGGTAGAAAATTTTGTGGAATCTTGTGGAAGTGAATGTTGAGAACTAAAAGTTAATTAATTAAATATTTTTTTTAAAAAGGAAGCTAGGGTTCTATAAGCAACAGATAATAGAAGCGTAAGAGAAAGAGAACTAGGATGAAAGAAAGTTTGTTAACCAGAGGGAAGGTACAGTTTAAAGAGGGAATAAAGTAGGGTGGAAACTGGGAAGACATAGGGGCAAACTGGATAGGGCTGGGAATGTAGGCATAGGTAGCAAGGGAAGATGAGGATGGAGATAGGGGCAGATTGCCTTGGAAAAGATGGTCTGATTATGGGAACTTTCTTTGTGAGGGAGAAGCAGTGGTGAATGGGAATGAATAGCCTGTGATCTCTCCCCTTTTCCTGACTTCTATGACTATGACCTCATCCCCAGGACCTGTATTTGATCTACTTTCTCTGTTAATTTCTAAAGGAGCATAATCTATCAAGGTACTTACCATAAGGAACTTGAAGACAACAATCCCAGGCAACAATGGGGATTAAGGATCTCTCCTCTAATGTTGGTGGCAAAGCCATAGCTACCCTACCCTCATTACAACTCTATGTAAGAGTGACCAACTCATGCAAGTTAAAGTGGAATGAACACGTTTTTAATTCATAGGATCACCAGATACTTCTGTTCTTATACCAGGGCATTCACCCTTCAGTTCTAAATAACCAAGGTTCGTTCATTCTACCTCCACAACATCTCTTGTATTCATCCCCTCATTTCTACTTATATGACCACACCCAATTTTATGACCTTTTGACCTCTTGCATGGACTTCTCTAGGGGTGAAGAACCTGCAGCCTCCAGGCCACATGTGGCCCTCTAGGTCCTCAAGTGTGGCCCTTTGACTGAATCCAAACTTCACAGAACAAATCCGCTTAATAAAAAGATTTGTTCTGTAAAACTTGGACTCAGTCAAAAGGCAGCACCCGAGGACCTAGAAGGCCACACGTGGCCTGGAGGCTGCAGGTTCTCCATGACTAGACTGCTCTAATAGTTTCCTAATTAGATCCCTAGCTCTAGTCTCTCGTCTCTTCCACTTAGTAACTTAGTAACCAAGTTAATCTTAAAATGAAAGTTTCACCATGTACACTGCTCAATAAATTGCTGTGGCTTTCTATTACCTCTAGGATTAAATACAAACTACTCAATTTGCCATTTAAAGCTCTTCACAATCTGGATCCAGCTTACCTCTCCAAATTTACTGCACATTACTCCTCTTCCTTCAAAATTCACTCATCTACTATCTTCTACAAAAAGCCTTTCCTGATTCCCTCCAGCTGCCAGCACCTCCTCATTTTCCAATCTCTTTGTATTGTTATCCATTTTATGTGTATAGGTATATGTGTACATATATATATGCATATACAAAGGTGTGTGAGTGTGTATGGATTTATCTTTGTATATGTGTACCTGTTGCCTTCCCTGACTAGCCTATAAGTTCCTTAAAAGCAGGAACTATATTTGATTTTGACCTTTATACTTGGAGCCTACCTTGGTGCCTGTGGTACCTGGCGTATAACAAGCACTTAACAAATGCTTGTTTTTTGATTGATTGGATAAAAATTATGTTGTTCAAATCAGAGATACACTGTACATGCCATCTCTTCCTCAATTTTGCTTTTCTCCCTGGATCTTTCACTCAGTTAAAAGGAGTGTGATCCCTTCTTTCCACACTGACTAGCTTAGATACTAGCTGTTGTTTCTTAATCCTCATAATCAACTATGGAAATACCATTCTGTCATTTATAATTAAGGGCTAATTTCTAATTTGCACACTCAGGAATGATACGTAGAGTCAAGTTTTCTGACTCATGAATGTGATAGGGATTCCCCTTCCCTGCAGCAAAATACTATTTCATAAGCTTAATCACCATCTTTTTTCATTGAGTCCAAATAGCATTTTAAAAAAAAAAACTATTTCATAACTTGTATGTAAACCATTTAAATAAACCTTCAGTACTTAAGTGGTGGTCATTGAGATAGTCTTTTCTCTCCATTCAGTTATTCAACACAACCACACATTTGGCCTTAAGCTTCAACTATTTCTTCATAAATCCATCTTTTGAGCATGTGTAGAGAGACAACTTCATGCCAACTGCTATCATTTCCACTATATCCTTAAAAAAGGAGATAACCATTAGGAGGCCAGATTGTTTTGTTTACTTTTTCCAGTATTTCTCAGCAACAGATTTCCTCATTTCCTAATCCCCTTTTCTGCTTTTCACTCAGGTCCTTCCAGGATAACATTCCCTACATTTTCTGGTGGTGTGGCTCAGTTACCAATTGTACCTCTGTGCTTGTTTCCAAAATATTGCTCGTTGTGACTTGCAGGGCTCACAGAGGTTCATTACACTAAATTATACTTTAAAATGCAGCATTTGCCTTTCCTGTAGGCATGAGTTTACAGTGCCCTGCCCTTCCTACCCATTTAATAAAGTCTGGGAGGGCTGGGTAGTAGCAGAGCATGTGTTTATTTTCTTATGATCATTGCTGCAGCTGTAGAGCTAGCTCATTCTAATATTCCCCAAGAGGCATTTTATTATAGATAGGTAGGTAGCTACATAGATACAGATAGATGAATATATAGATAAATAAATGAACAAAAATACAATTGAATATTTAGATAAATAAGTAAAATGATGGATAAATAGATGAATAAAGACATCATTTGCTCTAAAAAATTTTCTTTCAAGTCATAGAAGCTGTAACCTGCCACCTTAGATGACATGATGCCTAGAAACAGACTGAAAACTAAACAGAGACTACAAACACTACTCCCATTATTAATTTCACCAGCAAAAGTGCACCTTAAAGTAAGAACATGGACCTGTGCTCCTTTTTGTACTTGCTATCCTGCTGCCAGTAGGGGGCTCTAGAACTACCTAGAGGCAGTTCAAAGAAGGGATACAAAAAAAGAAAAGCCACATAAATCACCAGTGGGCAGGTGGCATACGGGTTGCCTTTTGAAAGAAGTAACCAAGCTAAAAGGTTGTCTAGACTAACAGGCATTCTCAGTTTTTTCTTGTGTCACGGGTCACTGGCAATCTGATGAAGTCTATGAATCCCCT